ACATTAAACAGATTCTCTCTTACTGTAGGCTCCTGATTTCTCTTTTCTTAGAGCATTTTCTTTAGAATACTTATCATTGTAATTTTTTCTTCTGCCTCTTTGAGATATAAATTTTTTTTTAAGCTTTTTTCCAGTTTTACAATCCAAGGCTATTTTTCTTAAGAACCTGGTAGCCATTCTTTTGAAATGTAATCATCAAAAATAGTGGCACCCCTATGTCCTAGAATCTGTGGGCTAGTATAGAAGCTTAACTTCAGCAGGCACCTTGCTCTTAGTTGTGAAAAAACTGCCTTTCATAAAGATATGAGTTTATTAGTAAACACAGATAGCCTATGACTACCTCCTAAGGTCCTCCAGTACTTTTCCACAGCTCACTTTAGCCTTTAAAAACCTTACACCCCCCTTTGTTTCAATAGAGTTGGTTCAGACTGAGTTTTGGCTTCCCTTCTCTTTTGTACTAGTCTTAACTAGTCTTTCTTGCCTGTGTAACTTTGTTGATGCAATTTTTTGCTTTGGCACTTTACATAGTATTTCGTTTTATTTTAAAACTCTTTTCTTTCACTAGCTGGAATTCTAAATACCATTTGTGGATACTCTGGTTCATCCAGATAATGGCTCCTCTACATGTGCAAGAACATTTTCAAGGAGAACATACAATAAAACCCTAACTCCCAAATGTTTCTATCTTCTGAAGTAAGTTCTTTAAGATAACTTTTAGAACTAAAAGAGAGAGAGAGATACCACATCTTTGGTGCAAAACTATAAATCAGAGCTAGATGATGACCTTATCATCGTAGCCAGTCCAATGACAACAAAATTCATAATCTTAAGAGTTTTCTAAACTTTCAGATTTACATCTCAACTCTAGAAAGATGATCTGTGCTTAGTAGTTACATGAACTTTATGACACATTTATACTGTTATTTTTTACCATTTGATCTTTTTTTAGGAATATTTAACATACGTTTTTAAATGGAATGTTCATAAAGATGCAAAAATGCTTTTAATATTTTATATACCCTCTTTAGCTTAAAATTTTAACTATTACCAACACTATTAAAGCCCCCTCATGTGCCCTTGCTCATGACTTCCTCCAGAGGCATCTTGCCAGCAGCCGTCTCATGATAATTTCCAATGAGTTTCCATCCACATAAGTCAAATGCAACAGCAATTCCCAAACTAGAGACCAGGCTTGACATATGAGCTCTTAGCACAAATGAATGGCATACTAAATGATTTGAGCTATCAAGAATGATGCTCAGCACTATAATAAAAATATTGATCTCTTTGAAGTTTCTTGTCTGGAAATAATGATTCATCAGAGGATATTCTGTTTGTTCTCAAGAGAGTCATCTAACCTGAGAACTGTATGTCCTCGCATTTTCTCCTTCATATGTACAGTCTTACTGTAAGCTCACCCCAACGCCATTATGAGAAGAAATAAAGAGAAATGTTTTCCTTGTAATATAGTGTGCTGGCTGGAAAATTACTGTTTGGCTATCGCCCATGGGAACATAATGCTCTAACAATAAGCTTTCTGATTCTGTAACCCCCACTTGCACAACTGACCTGTGGGTTGACAGTTAGTAAAAAGAAGAAAAATAGACTTGTGTGTTCAAACAGGATGAAGAATGGGGTTTAGGGCTTAAAAACTCTGTACCTCTACATTTCGGGGCTGCTGGATTTGGGGTCTGCGTACCCCTGACAGACCTAGCTGGCTGAATAAAGAGTGTGTTTCCTATAACTCACTGGTTTCTAGTGGTCCATGTGTCTATCGGGGACTGGTGGCTACAACAATAGGGAGAAGGTAAGAAAATTAAAATGTTAAATCAAGCAACATTCAGAGACTGCAATATGCTGATTAGCCCTATGGCCAGAACAAGAGGACTCCTGCAGAACAAGGGAAGATTTTTGCTGGGACTGCTAACAACTCATTTCCACACTTGTGACCACAAAACAGAAAAACAAGAGTCTTTAAGTCACACCTTACATAAAATAAAATTGTTCATTTCCTATGGCTAAAACCATGGGGAATCTGTAGGTCAAAGTCTAAGAACTGCCAGCAGGCATTTCACACTATGTACTCTTATCTTTTCTTACTTTATGCCCATACCATCAGATGAAAATGGTTAAACAAAATCTTTAAAGTGTAATTCATAGAAAATAAGAATGACATATAAACTGAATTCTCCGAATGCGGGGTCCCTCTTTGTATCTTTTTCTCTGTTCCTCTATCTTTCTGTCTCTCTCTCTCTTTGGTCCCTCTGAGTCTCTCTCAGGCTCTCTCAAGCTCTGTCTCTGAGAGGAGACTACGGCTATGTCTATGGAGCATTACCCTGTCTCTAATAAACTTTCTTTTCAACTCTAACTTTGGCATGCATTTGAATTCTTTCTTGTACTCAGCCAAGAACCTTCTCTCCATACAGGCCCACTAGGGAGAATTTGCCCTGTCTTCTATTACTTGTTTCATCCTCCCTCTCCACTCTCCCTTTCCATCTGAACTAACAAGACTACCAACAGCAACAAGTACAAATATTTTTTCCTTAAGATTTATGCCCAGACATTCTTATACTATTTTTATAACAGTGATATATCAAAAAATAAAACCCTGAAAATATAACAATGGAGGGATAATGATATGTCTACATAATATTATATTATGATTTTTTTTAATTTATAAAAACATGAGAAAATTACTATGATATAATGTTAAAAGAAAAAAGTACTAGGATACAAAGTTATATGGACAGTACAATTTCAATTAGTAAAAATATATGCATAGAAAAAATATTAGAAGAAAATTAACCAAATTTTAACAAAGTGGTTAATTCTGAGTGGTAGAGATATGACTGCTTTATATTGTTCTGAGTTTTCTTAACTTTTGATACCTTTATAATCTTGAAAACGAATTTTAAAATAAAAAAATCATGTCAAGTAAAAAAAAGTCCTTTGTGTTTCCAGAGTAGTCCAGAGTAGGAAAGATCCAGGGGAAAAATAAAAGGTATATGGAAATGAAAACAATCACCTTCCCTGGGATGTAGTGTTAAAAATTCTTCCCTCTTTCTATACACTTCCAATTCTGTAAAGATATAGTCACTAAAATAGAGTTTCAGCAACTTTCTGGTTCTTTCTCTAGAGATTAAGGACCTTAAGTAACAATAATAAAATTTAAAGTGAAATCCTAAGTGTAAACACTATCTTTTCATCATATATGTACATCTTCTTCTCTCTTGCCTTTTGCCCTGAAATATACATATATCTTGCACCAAGGAAAATTTTTCAGGAAAAACACATTATTGTTAAAAAGAAGCACTGCCACTCAAAGTGTAGTCTCAGTCTGAGCAACTCACCAGCTTGGAAACATTTAGATACAAAATCTCAAGTCTATCGCAGACCTAGTGTACCAGAACTTCTAGAGGTGAGGACCAAGAATCCCTGTTTCAAAAAGCTTTCCAGGAAAATTCTCTGCAATTATATGAAGAGAATTTCAACAATTTAGAGGATCAAGATTACAATTAACTTCACTTTAACTCTTAAAGAAAGAAAGGAAAAAAGTGGGGGGGTGGGGATGGGAGAGCATGTCAAAGGCTAATAATGAGTAGTCTACTAGAAAGTGTTTAACAACTAGAATTTTGAGGTTAAAAACCTTAATTTATAACATTCTATAGATTCCGATCTACCCTTGTGACAGCACTGAACTTGGAGTTACGAAGAGATGCACACTAGTGGCTTTCAAAAGCTAGTAGAAGCCAGCAGCACAGTACTGCAGAAGACTCTTGCTGGAGGTGATAACAAGGACTCAGTTATTCATTTAATTCTCTGAACGTTTGTGAGTGAAAATTTCTGTAAAGAAAGGACTGAAGGACTGAACAATGTTGTCTTGCTAATGAATCCAAAATAGAGGAAGGCAAGGGCAAACTTAACCCACAAATCTAAGAGAATGATTGATAACTGAGCCTCTCTTAAATTGCCAAAAGCGCATTAAATTAGAAGTTGTAAAATACGAGCCCCATTTCTGTTTGTTCGGTGACAATGCAGGTTTTTCATTATATTAAAAAGTCAAAACCAAGAAAACCTAGGAACACTTCAAAATATTTTTCTGGTAAGATCGCTTCAATCATGTCATTTACCAAGCTGATGTCTTAATCTGTTAAACGGAAACTAAAATATTCTTGAAGAGACCTCCCACTTGCACTTCAAAATGATACTGCCTCCAACAATCAGTGTTGCTAGAGAAAGGTGTTTTTATCCAGTTCAGGTAAATGTCTCTAAATGTATACTTTCCCTTTTACAAACTGATAATGCTAAATGTGTTCTCTACTTCTAATTTATACTATGATTTATTTGGCAACATAATGTATAGAACACAGAATAGGGCAAACACAATCTCTAGTGTCATCATCATCATTATCATTATCACTTTTTGGACTTTAAAACATATTTTTAACTCTCTAAAACTCAGTTTTCTTATCACAAATGAGTTTTTAAGAGAATCTGCCTCAGAATTATAGCAGAATTTTAAAATATGCAGACAAAATGTTTTGTAATATAGAATATCCATTTATATTCAAGGTAATGGTAGTCGTGGGCTAAGTTTTATTTCTTCTACTTTTCTCCATGCATCAAACATGTCTGCAGCAAACATTATGCGAACCAACTTTTCCTTTTAATCATAACGTCATAAGATGATATTTGAAAATGGATAAATTTCAGCCTCTTCAACATATACTTGCTATTTAATGCAAAAAAAAAGAAATGTAGAAATAAACGCAGATTCTACCTAAAACTGAATGTTTAAAAAGCAAGTTATAGACTGCTATACAAGAAGCAAATAAAACCACAATAAGCAATAAATCCAAAGTCCTGTGTTCGAAATAAAATTGATACTAATCTCAATATGTATTAACCTACCCCATGCTTACACTTAACTCTCTATAACACCATAACTCCCACTTAGCTTAACACATTTTAAAAGCTTAAGGCAGGAAAAAGGAACTTACCCACTAAATTTTCTTTATCCTGTTTCTCAGGAGAGAACGCCCCAGGATCCATCTCATTCTTGAGAAGTTTTTATACTTTGCAAATTTCTATGGGTTTGGGGCCAGGCCAACACTCCAGGCAGCTATACAAGTGTGCTTGGGAGAAGTGGAAGAGGAGCAAAAATAGAGAGTGAGAGAAGTTTCTCTTCTTTAGGGAGCACCCTAAGGAGTAGTTGCCCCGGTGAAGAAAGCCTGTTAACATAAACAGTCTGAGTTCAGACTGCTTTTGTTCATACAGAAGTGCAAAAGAGTATGACCTTCTGATGCTTCCTATAAAATATCACTATGCAATATTCTATACCATTTATATTTTATGAAACACTTCTATGCAACTTCTGTAATTTTTCACAATAGTGAACTATCTGATAGACAGGGCAAGCACATCCATCCTTATATTTCAGATGAGGAAATTCGATTTCCTGCAGTGAGTGATCATTTGAAGGTCAAATCTGATCATGTCACCATCCTGCTTAAAATGATCCAGTGACTGCCAGTTGTAAAAGATCCTGCTAATATGCCTCTTCTTCTCTTTCCAACCTCACTCACAGGACACTCCCCTAAATCAGAAATAGCCCCATTGTCCTTCTAACAGTCCCCTTAAAGTTATATGTGTTCTCTGTTCCACCAGGCCTTTGTACATACCATACACACAATTATTTGGTTAATATTTGTTTCTTCTTCTAGACCAGGGAATGGCTAACTGCAGCCTTCTAGCCAGATTTGGTCTACCACCTGTTTTGGTAAGTAAAATGTTATTGGAACACAGCCACATCCATTTGTTTCTGTATCTATGATGACTTTTGCACTACAGCTACATAGTCAAGTAGTTGCCATAGAGATGTTATGGCCTGCAAAGCCTAAAATATTTAGTATGTACCCCTTTACAGAAAACGTTTGCAGACCCCTGATCTACATGATAACTTCCATGAAGAGAGTGACTACAACTGTTATTTTTTACCATGTCACCTGCAGCTCTTAGAACAATGCAGGCACATAGCTTGTACCCAACAAATACTTGTTGAATAAATGAATAAGTAATCTGTCAAAGATAACAGCTCACAAATGGCAAAGATCTTTCTCAAATCCAGATACTCAAGTTCCTGTTCCAAGAGTCCTTTTTCATCATACCACTTGGAATTAAGGGCAATTGTATGCTTATTCCAATACAGAAACCATACATTTTCTAATTTTCTGATGTTTATCTATCTCATATCAATATTCCAAATAATATTTTGTTTTGTGTGTGTGTGTGTGTGTGTGTGTAAACAAAACAATACAAAGAAACTCTGATCTGTCCCAGGTCATTTTGTCTTTTCTAGTCTTTCTTCTCCCAACTATCAGTTATTTTATTTTAGCAACTTTATTTTTAAAAACCTCCCAGATTGTGGGTTACTTTTGCCAACTACTTGATACTCTTAATTGCCTTCTCCACAAACTGAAATTACTGTAACAACCAGGGCTATCAGCCACTGTTTGTAATTATAAGAATTACTATGGAATTTTAGAACTTAGAGAAAGGAAACTAGAGACCAGAAAAACAGATTAAAACAGACGTACATGAACGCACAGAGTCAGTGATTGTTAGCTTTAGAATACTTTCCTCTGCATTATTCTTATACATCCTTGGTTATGGCTTGATGTGTAAATGATGCCAGAGACATAGTGAATAAGAAAGCAAGCTCTGGGCTCACACTACTGCGATATAAAGAAATCCTATCTATGCCATGAACAAACTGTGTGACACTAGATAACCTTTTTATGTTTCATTTTTATATATTATTTCATTTTTCAATTATAGTTGGCGTATAGTATTATTTTCATTTTAGGTGTACAACGTGGTCTCAGGGGATCACCAGGGCAAGGTATCCAGGTTGATGGAGACTACATGCTGTGAGTGGGGCAAGCTTTACCAGGAAACAATTGATTCTGCCAACAATTCTTTCTGAGAGAAAGCTGCCCCTCCAGAACGTCTCTTAAAGCCAGAAAAATCATTTCTTCCCTGAATGTTTCTGGCCCCTTCTGAGCCACTGTCCCAATGCTGAAGTTCAGTGTGAGAGAGTCCTTCAGTAAGTCCCTATTCAGGCTCCTTAACAACAGGAATGTCTACGACTCTAGCCACTCTGCATCTCACTCAGCCACAGTCTTCACTGGGTTTCAGAGCTAAAAGTGGGGACTTCTCTTTCTGGCACTGGAACTCTGGACTGGGAAGCCCAGTGTGGCCCAGGTTCCTTCACTCCTCCAGGGGCACCTCTGCAGCTAGGATATCTATCCCAATTCTCAGCCACCACACATAGTTGTGGGACCAGCCTATTCCACATCTCTGCCCCTCCTACCAGTCTCATGGTGCCTCTTGTGTATGTCCCCAGTTGTAGAACTTCTGTTCAGGCAACTCCCTGTGATGATTGTTCTATAGTTTAGCTGTAATTTTGATGCGTTTGTGAGAGGAGGCAAGCACAGTGTTTTACTTTCTCCACCATCTTCACCAGAACCCTGTTTTATTTATTTATTTTTCATTTGTAAAATGGGCATCATAATAGTCTTTACCAGAGTTGTCTTGTGAGAATTATATAAAATATTACGTGTAAAATAGTCAGAATAATGACTGACATAGAATGGTAACCACTATAACCATGAGTGGGAGCTGAGCTATATTTCTCAGGACTCAGCTATCTTCTTTCTAAAATGGGAATGTTGGGTTAGTTTTCACAATATCTCCCTTTACCCTTGTTTCGGGTGAATGGAAGATTGATTAGTGATTCATTAGGTATGTCAGAACATTCATCGCCTCTCCTCTCCCTCCTCTAATGCTTCACCAGTTTGCTGCAGATTGAAAACTTGAGGTTTATTCTTGGTTCTGTACTGTCAATCTATAGATTTCAATATGTTTCTTCCTGACCTCTACTTAGTCACCATGTCATCACCACTTTGGAACTAACTTCTCATGGAAAGAACAACAGGAAAACATCCTGTTTCCATCATTTCTTGCAACTTGGTCATAGGCAATCTTTGCCTGGAACAGGAAGCCCCTTTCCTTCTGAATCACATGACTCTCTACAGTCATGAAGCTAAGTGTTTTGGAAGTGCTAGTTTAGCTAATTTCTAAATACTTTTTCCCTTAATATTGGCCAAATAGCATTTATGCTAGCACTTCCAGTCACTGAGGAGTGAGGTTCAAAACAACAGTAACAATAATTGCTCCCTGGTGGTAGCTGGTAAAAGCCTCCAGGGCACTTGCAACAAATACATCCCCTTGGAAGATGACTAAGCAAATGTTTTTCTGCTTCCTGCAAAATGTTTGTGATTTTTCTCAGTCAAATATCTCAGCCTATAAAGCAAGAATGATTTCACCAAGTAAGGAACACCTAGGACAAGCTGAATCCCTAACCAAAACATTATATTACTTAGCTTAATTTTTATTCGACATGTGTAAAAATACTCATGTAGCCTCTTGTGATTGTTTTTATGGCTCCCTATTATGTTTTTAAGGTTTATCACGTTGCTGTATGAAATTATTGTTTGTTCATTTTCAGTACTACTTAACACATGATAGTATAAATAGGCCACAATTCACTTGCTAATTTGGAACATTTCAAAGTTTTGTTTTTACATATAATGCTACCATGAATATTTTTGTACATGTCTCTTGATACATATATATGCAAAAGATTCTCTAGACCCTATAATCAACATATTCACAACCAGAAATGAAATTTATGTTCAATTTGACAAGATGATTATAAATAATTTTGCAAAATTGTTTTCCATTTAAATTTTCCATTTAAATTTTTCTGAATTTTAATGATGCTGAACAATTTTCAAATGGCTATTTATAATTCATGTTTTTTCTATGTGAATTACACACACATCTTGCTTTTTAAAATTTTTTCCTTTTTATTACTGATTTATAGGTAACCTTTATATCTACTTATATATACTTGATATGTATGTATACTTTCTACATACTTATATATATTGATAATTGACAGTACATGAAGTGTACTGTCTTTTACCATTTTATGATGCCTTTGATATTAAATATATGAAGTTTTGATATATTTAGCATTTGGTGTGTCTTGCTTAAAAATCCTTTCCTTTCAAAGTTTTTAAATGTATTCTCCACTATATATTTTTTTAAAGCTTTTAGAGTTCCAGTCATGCACGTCATAACAATGTTTTGGTCAGTGATGGACCACATTTACCTATAGTGATCCCATAAAATTATAATGGAGTTGAAAAACTCCTATTGCATAGTAATGTCAGCCATCATAACATTGTAGTGAAATGTATTACACAACTACTTACCATTGTGTAACTGTGGATGAAAAAAGGGTACTGAAATAAATCATAGATTCCTTACTGGGCAGGTCATGGTGAGTAGTCATGCCCCAGGCCTATAACTTCTTTATTGCAAGATTTTTAAGCCAGCCCTGTCTATCATTCTTGGGAACCTAAGTTAATACATCTTTGAAGTAATACCCCTTGAAAGCATAACCACCCTTAAGAAAGTACATAATATTGTAATCTAATCTCCAGCTTGCTTTCTCCCAACCTCATTTAACCTTCCTTGTGCTCCTTCCTTAATTCAAATGCATAAAAGAAACTGAAAAACTGTTACTCTCTGGAACATTTGAGATTTTGTTCTCCTGAATATGTTATCAGTTTGGCTCAAATAAACTTTTTTTAAAAAATAATTTTCTTATTTTTTAACTACAATTGACACACAATATTATATTTAGGTGTACAACATGGTGATTTATACAACATTTATGTAACTTACAAAGTGATCACCCCAACAAATCTAGTACCCTTCTGGCACCATACGTAGTTATATAGTTATTATAGTATTATCGACTATATTCTTGTGCTATTCTTTACATCGCAATGACTATTTTGTAACTGCCAATCTATACCTCTTAATCTCTTCCCCTTTCCACTCATCCCCCTCAACCATCCTCCACCAGGCAACCATTAAAATGTTCTCTGTATTTATGAGCTTGTTTCTATTTTGTTTGTTTGTTTATTTTGTTCTTTAGATTCCACATGTAAATGAAATCCTATGGCATTTGTCTTTTTCTATCTGACTTACTCCACTCAGCACCATACCCTCTAGGTCCATCCATGTTGCTGCAGATAGCAAGATTCGATTCTTTTT